CGAACCGTGAATTTTGTGTATCGTTGCACCCCTAGTAAATAGGTTTCATAATTTCATATTTACTCAGCACTTTCTAGTAGTATGTAACAACACAATAAATTATGTTATTATTATACTTATGTTTGCCTGTTACGCTCATTTCCTGTGGTGCGTTTTTATTCTTTAATTTCACGGTGCAGCCCCCGAGTTTATCCACTGTCTGAAAGATTATTGGTTGCCTCTTGCAAACAGAAGGTTTGAACAGCAGGTGGGTGGGGCTTCTGTGCTCATAGCCAGAACTGTGTGCCTGAGATGACCAAACTTAGTATATCCTCCCTCACTGACATCATGCAGAGCCAAAAGTGTAGGAAACTGTGTGAAACAGCATATTTCGAGCAGTCTGAAGCCTGAGCTTGTGGTTCCCAGGGTTTAAACGCACACATACAGCTCTTGCTCCCCATGTACAATGAACTGTGTACTGTCCACTGTGAAGTTTGAAAGACATGAGTAAAGCTATCGATAAAACCAGTTCCTGCCGATTAAACTTATTGAAGGTTTTATCTGTGGGTGAAAGTAACTGACCTGTAACTTTGCTGCTGCTGCTCTGGCCACTTCCTCTCTCCACTATGTCCCGAGTGTCCAACAGTGTGGAGAGGAGGTCTGACGGGGAGCTGCTTCCTTCTATCAGGGCATTGCATTGGTTATCCACATGAGGAAACCCCCCCATGCTCTTCAGCTCCTCAAACCGACGGGCACACTGCAACACAATTGCATCAGAGCCACAGAATTATTTCTCATTAAAAATTCAGGTCTCTTGTTACTAAAGCATGGAACGAACTATGGGCGGGATGGGATGGATGGAGAGGCAGGATGGATGAAGGGGTTCTAGTTACCCAGTGATCCAGTTACCTCCTTAGGAGTAAAGCCTGGTACTAGCTTGGCCACATTGTCCCAGCTTATGGGCTGGGGCACACCCCACAGGGAGCCCAGCACCATGTCCAAAACCAGAACGTTGTTGTCATAGGGAAAGTTGTTGTTATCCGAACAGAAGCGACTCATCTCTACACACACAGAGGGCAGGAAACGATAGGCAGCAAGTCAACAATAAATTCCTTCATCTGTTTGATCATCATAGCCAAATTAGAGCTGAAATCACTGTGCAGTTAGCACCTATTTTAATTGCCTTTAAGCATTCTGCGCATAGTCAGCATATAGATTAATACAAGAGTGGCGTGATTGGCTTTTTTTTTTTGTAGCAGTATTCAGACGTGTTATTGCAGTTGGATAAAAGCTGTGTTTAAGTCTATTAGTCCTTACACTAATTGCTCTGTACCGTCTAAGGGCAACAGGTCAAACAGGGAGTAACCAGGATGTGAGTTATCTTTTATGATGTTTTGGGCCTTTTTAAGACAGCGGGTGTTGTGTAGATCTTCCAAAACTGAATGCTTTCAGGTTGTGGACTATTTGTGAGGTAAGTAGAGTGGGCCAATAGCGTCTGAGGGACCGTTTTGTAGCCCAGATAATAAATTGCTGGATAAAAGGAATGGACCAGTTGTGAAACTGTGCACCACTGCATAAAATAATAAATTTGGCCAACTACTGAGACAAATGTTGTTTCTTTCTTTAGTATGGTTTGGTTGTTATGCCTCAGAAACACATTTTCATTGAGAAAAAAAATGAAGTTTATTGTAAAAGACTTTGCTTGGCGGCTGAACTTGCCATTCACTACTATTCAAAGTTCCTGTGTTTTGTTTTTCTGTTATTAAATGCATCACAGGTTAGAGCATACTGGTGACTATGTATGAGCTGAAAGAGGAGACTGATCATTCATGTACTGTACATGATACGGGTAGATGCTGTACGTTTATGGGATGCAGTAGAGGCACAGATTAGGGTAGGCCGAGTGCCTCTGCCCTCCTGCTGAATCAACATCAGATGCTTTCAGGTCACATTAAAATCCTCAGATTTTCTAGGACACACATCCAACAACAGAAATGACACTTACTGTTCTGGTCTGTGAGATAATCCTCACCGTCGTCTCGTACAATCTAATAAGCGGGTAAATGTTTCATCTCATTGTGCGTGTGGATGATGCTGATGCTGCGGTGTTCTCCTACCGGCTAATGCTAGCTAAGTTTGCGGGACGGGACAGATCTGCTGCCTTCAGGTACTCCCCGTAAATATCAAACGACGGTCACTAGTGATGTGGTCCGTCCTATTGCGTCATATACCTTCTGGTGGGATTTACACCGACGTATTTAGCTCGCGCTCTCTCTCTCTCTCTCAACGCGTTTGAGCACGGTGGCTATGCGATGACATTTAAACCAAAGGCGAAAGTGAACTAGAACATCAAAAATGTGTCTTCAGGCTCAACTCTGCCTCAGTAATTCCGATAGCCATGGAAGGTAGCATTAGCTTCTAGCTAGCATACAGTTAGCTGACCAAGTGGCTACTTAAATTGACGTATGTCTGTCATTAAGCCGACAACGCAGAAAATGCTATCGGCAGGTTACACTATCAAAATACTACATAAAAATCTACCCCCAGAACACTTTCGATTAACAAAACGCGTTTATTCGATCTGTATCTGCAACGGTGACTCGTCACTGTTGGCGCAGTGCAGCAGGCGTCCTGTTGCTTGGAGACAGTGGTCGCAAATCAAGTGCTTCTGCCATAAAGCCAGACTTTAAAACAAATTAAATGAAATTATATTATACTAATATGTCATTTAAATTAGCATCAACTAAAACTAAACAGTTAGGTCCAAGTTTTGAAATTGAAAATTTTGACAAAATTTCTAACATTGTCACTTGATACCTTATAGCACAATGGACAAAAACGATTTTTAAATTATTTATTTTCATAATAATCATATTAAATATTCCAAAAATTTCTGAATGGTAACTGTTGAAAATGTGCAAAATTCGCCCCTTTCTTATTCTGAATAGATCCAATTAACGTCACAGAAAACTATACAGAAACCCAAACATGTGAGGGTCAAAACAAAATGTGATCATATGATCAAACAAAACACCTTAACTGTGTTCTTACACTGTCCTTGTACACATAATGTGTCAGTGCGCCTAAAAACACATTTTAGAATACTCATTTGTTTATTTCTGTAAAAGCTTTGAGTTAAAAAAAAAAAAAAATTAAGCTCAGATTTTCAGACGCAGTGAGCCTTGTGCATGGAAACAATTCTTGGCAAGTAATAAGAAGGTCCATACTGCGTTAAAAAAAATTGAATCGAAAATTACTTTAACAGTTCCTGATGAGGTCTGTGGATTGTCCACCACCCCAAAATATGAACTAACAGCAGATTATTAGTTAAGCTCCAGAGTTACACACTGAGCAAACCGCTGTTATGAATGAACATTTATGGACACAAAGATCATGGATCAGTCTTTTCAGGGATGTTAAGTGGTGTGTTGGAGGGCATGGTGGAGGTGGATGATCCCTGATTGAATAAAGCAGGTGTTTCCCTGTACGCTGACTCCAGAAGGTCCTCTGAGGAAGCCGAGGCAGAAGAAGAAGAGGCTGAGGCAGAGGCGGGGTCCGGGGTAAAGCCTTGGACTCCAGTTGTCTGCATTTGTCCAGCCAAGCTTGTTTGGGGTTCCTGCGTGTTCGCCCGCTGGGCCTGAGCGAGCCTCTCCATATCTGCGGCCCGGCGGCCTCTCCTCTTGCCGAGGATCTTAACGTAGTTGGCTGGGATGAGCCCTGTGGTCTCACCGTCCACACTGGCCAGGAGCCAGCCACGCACACGGGGCTGTAGCTCTACACACGAGGAAGAGGAAAACACTGTGATAGTTGTAAACATGGTGCACGCTCACACAAAAGAAGAGCCCTCATCTGTTATTCCCAAGATAAGGAAAACAAAAATAGAAGGTTTTTGGTCAAAGCACTCAGAATCAAAAGTCCCGCAGCCAGTAAAAAGCTCATCACCTTTAGGAGCGAGGTTGAGCATCTCTCCAGCTTGCATAGAAAGCTCCTCCTGAGAAGCAGCTGTAAAATCATATTCTGCTCTGGCCACCACGTGGTCGTCCTCCCCACTTGCCCAGTTAGTGTCTAAATCAAGCAAGGAAACTGAATTAAAGACATTCATACTTTTAACTTGTTTTAATTAAAAACAAGTCCACTTGCTTTGTACTGTCAGTTGTAAAGTGACTAATGGCATATGGAGCTATGATACCCAATTTATTTGCCACAGAGTTACAGAAAGGCACATGATGTCATACAAGCAGACTCATCTTTACATGTGTACTGCAAACAACAAAACAAAATGTATCTTTATGAATATGTGAGTGCTTGCCGTTTCATCTGCAAGCCTTACCTTTGATTTCAGAGTCAGCAGTGGAGCTCAGCTTCCAGATAAGGTAGGGTACACCCAAGACTAGAGCAAAAAACATTAAGATGGGCCAGGATTTAACTGCCTGGTCCTCCATCTCTCTGGATGATCTCATACCAGTGGCCTCACTGGGGTTGGGCCACAGGGCTTCGACCTCAGGGTCTAGCCTCCGCCCGAGCAGCTTCTGCACCAAGCGGTACAAGTAGTGCAATGTGCGCACCAGAGCAAACTTTGACAAAACCCGGGTGAGGTGCACGCGCAGTCGTGTGACGTGGTTGACTACTTCCAGTACGGCACGGAAACCGTTATGTAGCGCAGAAAAGGTGGCGTCCATCATCATGCTTATTGAAGCAAACGCATGGACGATGCTCTCGATGGACTCAAAGGCACCGCGGCTACTTTCTTCTGCCTGCTGCACAAACCTGCTGGGGGGGACGTCTTCAAGGTGAGGTGTGTGTCTGTATCCTCCCAGGCTGTAGCCGCCACCATAGCCGCTACCATAGCCGCCACCATAGCCGTAGCTGTAAGGACTGTAGCCACCATAGATGGAGCTCCCATAGGGGCTGTAAGATTGGGAGAAGGAGCTGTAGGATGGACGGTAGGACTGCTGGACCTGACGAGGGGGCACCGGGGGCGCCATCCTGGGCAGGACAGAAGGGCCAGCAGAGGTGGAGGAGCCTCTAGCTAGTCCCAAATCTGTAGATCTGTTTGGTGACAACATAAAGATAGAATATCAGTAAAATCCACCCATAATTCATTGCAACATTAATTGAGCAAAGCATTAGTTCAGAAACGTCATGGAGTCAAGCTAAACCACAGTCCACAAGCTGCTCAACAGCTCAAATATGTAAATATGTAAGAAAAATTGTGTATGTTTCTGTCCTGTGTACTGTTTGTTTGTATATGTGTCTTTCTGGCTGCTGCTAAAATGGTGTTTTTCCTTCCCACAGTCACCAAGTGCTCGCTCAAAAGGGTTGTTTTGATCATTTAGTTTTCTCTGTATTACAATAGGGTCTCCACCTTGCCGTATAAAGTGTCTTGAGGTGACTGTTGTTGTGATTAACGCTATATACATAAACTGTAATTGAATTGAGTCAACTCTTCCTCCTGTCTCATCTCCAGCTCTGCTACTCTTCATCTGTACAGACTGTGGAAAATACACAGTAAATTCACCGTGCCGCTCACCATCAACCAGCAGCTACCGGCGACTTTTAGCATGGGATGTTTTCTCATGTGAGCTGACGTTATGAACCAGTCAACACACCTTAAATATCCTTAAATATCATTATCACAGCTCTGATTGTTCAGCTTCTCCAATCTGATGACCATATTCTCTTAACCTTAAAAGGATATGTTGATATGTCCAAAAAAGATAAAGATGTGTGCAGATTTAATTCCATTTCCCCCCCTTAAAGTGGAAAAAAGTGTCAGGTGGGGGGGGGGACTGATTGAACTGTGATTGTGGAATTTGCCTCACACTGGTGCGTTCACTATTCCTTGTTTGAGAATACTGCTGTATATATACAAATGCCAGCCGACAGCATAAACAAACTGTTGTACATATATTTTTATAATTATCCGAATATAATAATAAGACAATTAAAAAAAATGTGACTTGCAGCAGCAAGCGGAGGAGTTTAATCTTCTCTGGGTCTTGTTTACGAGTTTGGGGACAGGTGAGCAGAGGACTGACAAATGGAAAAAAAACAAGAGCTTCTCTAAGGGTGGCTGGCCTCTCCCTTAAAGACAGGGTGAAGAGTTCAGTTACTCGAAAGGGGCTCAGAGTAGAACTGCTATTCCTTCACACTGAAGAGAGGCAGATGATACGATTTAGGTATCTGGCAAGGACGCCTCCTAGGTGAGGCGTTCCAAGCATGGACAACCAGGAGGCCCCGGGCCAGACCCAAGACGCTCTGCAGAGGCTATATCTCTATATGCATTTTTTGCAGGAAATTATCGGGCGAAGGAACTGAGTTTGTTGGCAAACAGCAACAGGAAGACAGCAGCTACATTTTCTTCTGAATTGACTGTTAACAACTACAGAACAAACAAAAATGCAATTCAAATATTTCTGGGGCTTTTATTAATTTCACTTGTTAACCAGAATTGCAACAAAACAAACAAACAAAAACGCTCAATTAACAGAAGAGAGAGAAATCTAGCGAGACACGGCCTCAGAGGACCAAACTAGCAGTTAGCCACTTATACGGCTGTGCAGATAAATAATTAGTTGCCGTTTTTGTTTTTGGGGCATTTTTAATGGCAACCAATTACTCTTACAATCGCAAACACGACTCATCGTTTTGCAATAATTTTCACCATCGTGTCGATTATTAAAACAAAATGTCAACTGTCGTCTAACAACTCCTGCACGAAGTGACAGCGACAACTTTAGCATTTCAACTGCGAGCAGCTGCAGCTGTAAACACGAGGGACTTCTCGCGACTGCGGCCCCTCCGAAATTCGCTCACCTGTAATTTAAAGGTGCACCAACTGAGCCAGGAATCCGCCTTTCCCATGGCCGTGTCGGGGGCTGTGAATCCATAGCAAAATATATGTGCACAGTACGCAAATAATATAGAGCCCTCGCAGAATCTCCTTACACTACTGCCTACCCGTATTTCCTCTTCTTCTTCTTTCTTACAGTTATATTGGCGGTTGGCAAACAATTGAAAGGTGCATTACCGCCACCAACTGGTATGGAGTATGGTCTGGAACGACGACAAAAAAAATTTCTCAAATCCTGCCAAACAGGTTCCCCTCTTTTAAAAACTGAAATAAGGCCTGATAACTTTTACTTCCCGATTCCATTCGCAACAACTCAACCAGATCCAGTTGGATTTTTAGGTTACTCCGTATTTCCACTTCTCCTTTGGGTTTTTTTTATCGTTGTTTAAAAACATAGAATAGACGCTTTACCGCCACCATCTGGTGTGGAGTTACACTGCAGTAACTGAGCTCTCACTGTCAAAAAAGTAGCCCAAAATTGGTGTTTGCCCCCGCGTTCCACTCCACTCCACTGTTCCCCAGAGGAACCTTTTGACAGTGATAGCTCAGTTACTGCAGTGTGAAGTACTCTGTGGACCTGTAGTGTAATGTTGACAAAATGCATCATTTAAGTAAATTTTCTATCTATTATGCCAAAATATGACCTTATGCGGTTAATTTTGTGAGTTCTCTGACATCTGTGAGGTTAGACTTAACTTTTATTTTCTGAAATAAAATAAACAGGAAATATCTGTTTAAGGAAAAGTCTTAGTCTTGTCCAAGTCTAAATATTAATGCTGAGGTCTTTCTTGTTTCTTCATGCACATTTCTAATGCTTTCCTTTAATTCTATGAAATCATTTTTGGTATTTGAAAGTCTTTTTACATTTTATTCAGAGCTATTTTCTCT